TCCATCTTGGAAAAATGTCTATTTAGTTCTGCCCATTTTTAATCAGATTTTTGTTTTGTTTTGTTGTTAAATTGTGTGGTTTTTTTATGTATTTTGGACATTAACCTTTTATTGGATATATGGTTTGAAAAAATTGTCTCCCATTCTGTAGGCTGTCATTTCATTTTTCTAATTGTTTCTTTTGCTGTGAAGAAGTTTTTTTAGTTTGGTGTAGCCCCGATTGTTAATATTTGCTTTTGTTGTGTGTGCTTTTGGCATAATGTCCAAAATATCATTGCCAAAACCAATTATCAAAGAATTTCTTTCTTGTGTTTTCTTCTGTGAGATTTACAGTCTTACATTTAACTTCTTGATTTGTTTTGAGTTAATTTTTGTGGGTAGTATGAGATAGTGGTTCAATTTCATTGTTTTTCATATGTCTCTCTACCACTTGTTGAAGAGACTATGTTTCCCCAAATGTGTGTTCTTGACTCCTTTTTAGAATATAAGTAGACCACATATCCTGGGATTTAATTCTGGGCCCTATATTCTGTATATTTAGTCTATATGTCTATTTTTGAGCCAGTACCACACTATTTTCATTAGTATGGATTTTAGTATAGTTTGAAATCAGGAAATAGAGCTCGAGCTTTCCCCCAACCCCTTCAAAATCTTTTTGGCTATTTGAGGTCTTTTATGGTTGCATACAAATTTCAGGATTATTTCTTCTGTTTCTGTGAAGAATGTCTTTGGTATTGGATGGAGGTTGCATTGAATCTGCAGATGGTTTGGGGTAGTATAGTCATTTTAACATCTGTTCTTCTGATCTATGATCTCAGGATGTCTTTTCATTTGTTCGTGTCTTCTTCAATTTCCTTCAGTAAAGTCTTAGAGATTTCATTGTACAGATCTTTCACACCCTTGCTAAATTTATTCCTAAGTATTTTATTGTTTTTTCATGCTACTGTGATTGGGATAGTTCTATTTCTTTTACTGATTCTTCATCCTTAGTCTAAAGAAATGCCACAGATTTCTGTAAGTTGGTTTTCTAACCTGCCACTTTACTAAAATCATTGATTAATTCCAACAGATTTTTATTGACTCTGGGATTTTCTGTTTATACAATTATTCAGAAAATAGTGATAATGTTAACTCTTCCTTCCCAGTTTAAATGCCTTTTATTTCTTTTTCTTCCTAATTGCTCTAGCTAGCACTCCCAGTACTATGTTGGGTAGAAGTGGTGAGGTTGGGCAACTTTCTCTTATGCTAGATCTCAGAGTAAACTGTTTCAACTTTCTTCCATTAACTATAATATTAGATGTGTGTCTGTCATATATGACGTTTATTACATTGAAGTATATTCTTTGTATACCAGATCTGTTAAGGGTTTTTATGACAAAATGATGTTATATTTTCTCAAATGCTTTTTCTTTGTCTATTGAAATTACCTTTTTATAGTTTTTTTATGATTTCTTATCTTTCATTTTATTCATATGATGATTACATATATTAGTTTGCATATGTTGAACCATCCTTGCATTCCAGGAATAAATCCTATTTGGTCATGGTGTATTGTCCTTTTAATGAATTTAGTTTGATAATATATTCTTGAGAATTTTTGCATCTATATTCATCAGGGATATTAGGTGTGTGTGTGTGTGTGTGTGTGTGTGTGTGTGTGTGTGTGTGGTATCCTTATCTGGTTTTGGTATCAGGGAAATACTGGTACCATAGGATGAGGTTCAAAGTGTTCCAGAGGGACTATTTTAATATTTGAGTTTTGAATTTCTTTCATCCTAGTTTCTTTCATTGTCTAACCACCAGACAATGAGTGAAATGATAGTGCCTTACATTAGATATTAGCTTCTTAGAAAAGCCTTCCTATCACTGAACAAAACAAATCAATTTTTAGTTGATTGTTGTGCATTGTGTATGGTAAGGGTTCAAATTCATTTTTTTTTGCATATGTATGTCCATTTTTTAGCAACGTTTGTTGAAGAAACTATCATTTCCCATTGTGTATTCTTGATTTTTATCAAGCTTTAGTTGACTGTACATGTGTGGGTTTATTTCTAGGCTATTTATTCACTTTCATTGGTCTATATCTTGATATTAATATGATGCTATTTCAATTGCTATCACTTTGTATTATAGGTTGAAATCAGGGAGTGTGATGCTTCCAACTTTGTTCTTTCTCAAGATTACTTTGGCTATTCTGGGTCTTTTTTAGTTCTATATGAGCTGTAGGATTGTTTTCACAATTTCTATAAAAAATGCCATTAAGATTTTTGTTCATGGAAACAGCACTGAATCTGTAGATTACACTGAGTGATATTAATATCTTATCAATATGTCTTTCAATCCATGAACATGAAATATATTTCCATTTATTTTGATCTTTTTCAATTTTGTTCATCAATGTTTTACAGCTTTCAGTGTTTAAATCTTTAACTTCCCTGGTCAGATTTTTTAAAAAGTATTATTTTCTTTGTGATGCTATTGTAATTGGGATTGTTTTCTAAATTTCCTTTTCATATGGCCCATTGTTAGTATATAGAAATACAACTGATCTTTGTTAATTTTCTATCCAAATGTTATTAATTTGTTTATTAGTCCTAGAAGGTCTTTTTTTCTGCATGTGAATATAGGAAATAGCTTCTTGACTTAGTCTTGAAAATGATTTCTTGGATATTACACCCAAGCATAATAAATGGAAGCAAAAGTATACAAGAGGGATTACATCAAATTCAAGTGATTTTTGCATGGCAAAAGAAGCAATAAAAAAACCAAAAGGCAACATATGGAGTGGAAGAAAATATTTGCAAACTATGTATCTGATAAGAAGTTAGTTTCCAAAATATGTAAAGAACTCTTACAATTCAATATAAAAAATAAATAAATAACATGACTGAACGTGAATTAAAAATTGAACTACCATACGATCCAGTAATCCAACTTCTGAGTGTATATTCAGAAGAGTTCAAATCAAATCTTGAAGACATATCTGTGCTCCCATATTCATTGCAACATCTTTCACAACTGCTAAGATATGGACACAATCTAAGATTATGCTAGATTAATAACTTCAAGTGATCTGTTTTACAACATAGTCTCTATAGCTAACAATACAGTATTGTGCACTCAGAATTTGTTAAGAGGATACATTTAACATTAAGTGTTTTAACACGCACGCACACACGTGCGCGCGCACACACACACACACACACACACACACCACAAAAGCAAAGGGACACAAAGAAACGTTGGGAGGTGTTTGCTATGTCTATTACCTTCACTGCCCTGAAGGTATCACGGTTATTCGCTAACATGCAAACTCATCAAATTGTATATGTTAAATATGTGTAATTCTTTATATATCAATCATGTCTCAATAAAACTTTTTTAATAAAGGAAAACAAAATATATGCTGTAATTTAGAGGGGAAGGCAGAAATGGGAAAACTTCACTGTATTTTAGCTATCTCATAATTTTAACTAGTTAATCTCTGAGAATATTTACTATTAGGAGCAAAATTTAAACATAGAATTATTTTCTCAGATAAAGCATGCTGCCAAAAAGAAAAAAGAAAAAAAAAAAAGGTGTAATAAAACAGCCCTGATTCTAATACTTAAAGCAGTGGATTAACTTTGAGGACATTATGCTAAGTGAAATAAGCCTATCACAAACCATAAATGCTATATGGTTTCACTTATATATCTAGAGTTAGAGTAGTTAATAAAAACAGAAAATGGAATGGTGGCTGCCAGGGTTTGAATGAAAGGGGAAATGAGGAGTTATTGTTTAATGGGCATAGATTTTCAGTTTTGTGAGATAAAAAAATTCTGGAGACTGGTTGTATAACAAAGTGAATACACGTGACATGACTGAACTATGCCCTTAGAAATGGTTAAAAGGCACATGTTATACATATTTTACTAGAATTTAAACAAAAATTATTGTAGTTATTTTCTCTCATACTTCATTTCATATGAATTTTCGATAATTTCGATCTCTTCAGTCACAACGATCAATGTTGTTACCAGACAATGTAACATAGCTCCCAGAAACGAATCTTTATTCAGCTATCTTAAAAAGATGAAAAGTAATTGTGAGGACCTGTATTAAGTTATGTGTAGCAGAAACAAATTAAAATAAATCACGGATTATTATAATATATCTCTAAGTACTGTTTGTGAAGGATTTTTTTTAACGTTTATTTATTTTTGAGACAGAGAGAGACAGAGCATGAACGGGGGAGGGTCAGAGAGAGAGGGAGACACAGAATCTGAAACAGCCTCCAGGCTCTGAGCGGTCAGCACAGAGCCTGACGCGGGGCTCGAACTCACGGACCGTGAGATCATGACCTGAGCCGAAGTCGGACGCTTAACCGACTGAGCCACCCAGGCGCCCCTGTGAGGGATATTTTGACTAATAGTCCCTTTATCAAAAGATGGGATTTGTTCAGGGTGAAAATAGAGTACATATATTATCATATAAAATAATATTACTATGGTCATTTGTTGTAGTATTATTTCATTTAATCAGCAACGTGGTAAGCAAGACGGAGGAACATTGTGAGCAACTTTTACTGGGTTATTCTGTGAGAATTACATATTTGCAAACTGTTTGGGAGGCACCGTAACAATAAAAAGTAAATGCCATTTCGCTCTCATTTTTTAGGGAGCCAAGAAAAAATGTGATGTATAAAACTCCCGATGATTGACTGTATAACTCCAGGATTCCAAAGAGCAAATTATCAGTGCCACTACCTAGTATTTTAAAGTTATGGCTCATCATTTTTATGAAAAAAAAAAAAAAGATTTATAAAGTATCGAATTTGTAGAAGAAAGGATTCCAATAACTCAAAAGAGAAACATCATATGTGGCAGAGACTACTTGCCACTAACCCATGATCTATTCTCTTTCTTTAGTAAAAGAACCACAGTTTTATTCGACATCGTATGTAATAAGCAAAAGGAATCTATTTCTGGGTTTCCTAGCAACCAGGTGAGACCATGTAAATAGGTTTGGAGCAACGCAGCTTAGGCTGTGTTACTTCAAGGAAACACCCATAAGAGTAAGCCGGCACCAATCCTTTACCACTTTGTTCTCTTTTCCTCCTGTCTGATAGCTGCTACAGACTATCATATTGATTGGATAGTATTTAATGCTGAATTCCGTTTAAACAAAAGCCCATACTTTGCTTAGGTTAAGATTATTTGGGGTTAATCTGTCATATGTAGGTGAAACTAATCCTAAGTGTACAAATTCATTGCAGGGTATAAGACCATGATCACTAAATGGAAATAGGACGAGTGGAAAGGAATCTTAACAGCAACAGCAGAGTAAACTATGTTAGTAAAAGTTTTATTATAGATTTAACTACTATTTAATTTAGTTTTATATTTCTTGTCATATATTTATAGAATCTAATTGTTTTACAAAGTTTGCTGGCAATAGGAAAAAAAAAAGAAGAAAAGGAAAGGGATTTTGCAATCTTTCTCCATTTCCTGCTCCATAAAGGCAATAATTTTTAAGTTTTTTCAAGCAAAATCTTTTATTTTTTATTGAAATTTACCTAAATTATATGCATATATTCTCCTTCCTTCCTTCCTTCCTTCCTTCCTTTCTTTTGTTCTTTCTTTCTTTGTCTCTTCTATATCTCTCTTCTTTGGTTAGGTCTGATCTTTTGACCTTCTATTTTAGAAGATGAGAATCTAGCTCTCCTTCGCTGTCCTGTTCCCAAAAATACACAAACACATTTCATCCACCTAATATACTTGTATATTAAATTCAGTAGATCAATATTCAATGTGCATACTAATATAGCTATGTCAACACTAGTCACGTCCAAAACATGTAGTAAGGCATTACGCTGTAAGTACTTTTCCTTTTATCTACATTTTGTTTTACCTAGATACAGTCATTTTCTTCTTTTATACATATACTTTATTTTCCATGTACTAGCATCAATTCTCCACTAACGTCTTCTCAGTGTTATAAAACTTCTTTTAAAATTGTCAAGCTCTTCCTCTTCAATCAATTCCATGTTTTCTGACGAAATCTCCAATGGCGTTTCCTGACTTGCTTCTATCTGGCGAGGTTTCTCTGGAGGCAGGCTGATCAATTATACCCTGGGTGCCATTATATACATACATATATATATATATATATATATATATGTGTGTGTGTGTGTGTGTGCGTGAACTCACCCCTTTGTAGTGTTGGAGTCTAGTTCCTGAAATGTTTGAGTCTCCCTGTCTGGGTTATTGCAACTTTTTATAAGGAATATTCATTTGCTTCCTGAAGAAGGTGTATATGAGGTAAAATTGTTGAGGTCTTACATGTCTACAAATTATCTGTATTGTATCTCTTGTTTAATTGGCTTTGTAAAATTGGGTAAAACATTTTAATTAGAAATGAATTTCTCTTAAAATTTTGAAAGCATTTTAATTGATTTCTGGTTTCTAGTTTTGATGTTGAGAATTTTTTTTAATGTTTATTTATTTTGAGAGAGAGAGAAAAGAGAGAGCAGAGGAGGGACAAAGAGAGAGGGAGAAAGAGAATCCCAAGCAGGCTCTGTGCTGTCAGCTCAGAGTCTGATGTAGGGCTCAATCTCACAAACCATGAGATCATAACCTGAACCAAAATCAAGATCCAGTGTCTCAACCCACTGAGCCATCCAGACACCCCTTGCTGTTGAGAATGCTATGCTTTTCTTTTTAATGAACATTTCACTTTCCTTTTTCAGAGATTTTAGGTAGTTCTTTCTCCAGGGTTTTGAAATTTCATAAATCAATGCCTTGTTGTAAGTCTATATTAATCCATTTTGCAGGACATTGAAATGGAGCCTATCAACTTGGAAATTGTTCTTTTGTGGGTAATTTCCTTCAGTTCATGGTTGGATACTATCTATATCTCATTACTCTTTCTAGCAGATTATTTAGAAGCTGAGTCTCCCCTAAGGTCTTTCATTTTTTAAATTATCTTTCTCTTCTGTTTCCTGTCCCTAATCATATTTTGATCTCAAGAATGTACCTCCACCTTTCTCTTTAATATTCAGTTTTACTTTCTGCCCTCATGTATTTAATTTTCAAGAGCTTCTTTATTGTTACCAAAAGGGTCCTTATTTTTACTAAACTCATGTTATAATTTCTTGGATTCAACACCATCTTTATCTTTCTGGTGATAGTAGTGATGATGTGTTTAAATTTTCTTTTTTTCCTCTAAAGTCTTCTTCTTTCACTGATGTTTTTTCTCTTCATTTTGGTCTCTGACTTATTTTTGGACACTTCTCTCAACTCAGTAACCATTGGCTATTCATTCACATTTCAGTTTGAATAGGGTCCTTTTACACTTACAAATGAACATTCTAACAGGATCTGATTGGTTGATTTCATTAAGAAACCCTCACTATCACTATTTTTTTAAAGGATTGCTCAGGTTCCAATAAGAGATTTCTCTAATCTTTTGCTTGGGGAGAAGGTGGAAAAAAGGTATGCATTTGGGATCCTAGTAAGGGAATAAACTTATCTACTTTTAACAATTATTATTAACATCTTAGTTAAACATATTCTTACATCACTCTAAGGTCAAGAAGGACTAGGGTTTGCCTTAGAGAGCCTGGTAAAGATTGCATTGTGAGATACCTAAGCTTGGAAGGAACCATTCCTACTCAGCTCAACTACAGATTTTAAAATTTTACAGATATGCCAAGGATATTTCTTCAGAGAAACTTATGTCCAGATACGAGAGATATCACATATATTGGTGATTCTGAAATCACAGATATTTGAGATTAATATTACAAAGTCGTTAGTTTAGACAACATGAGAAAACACCAATTCATAAAAAGATCAAGAATAAATTCAGGATTTAATACAGATGAAATGGGGACATGAGGTCTGATTTGGGGCAAGTGGTGCAAACATTAAAGTGCTAGCCTTTCTTCCACCAGGTTCAACCACTGGTAAGACAGAGAGTAACATTCCCAGAGATTTTCTGACTCCCCTATTTGCCTTCTATATAAGTAATTTATCTTCAAAGCAGAATTAAAAGTACTCGTATGGATGAAAGGACATTTCAGGTTAATCATCCAATTATATGAAGTGCATTTTTGGCCTCTATCTATACACCATGTTTTCTTGATTCTAAAACACACTTAATTTGAAAGGACACTATCGATTTATTAACAGTGTTTACCTAAAAACAACTTCTACCACCTTAAATGTGCATGCTGATTGAAAGACCTAGTTCGATTTTAGAAACTAAAATAAGAAAACATAGATACGTTACCCTTGAGAAACACAGAACAAAGCTTCCATTTCTCTGTACTTGCAATTCAAGCGTATCTTCAAATAGAAATAGCGTATATGATTTCATCTCCATAAATAGCACTGTAAACATTGCCTCCAAGAAAAGAAAGGACACTGTCAAGTCCTTCTCATACAGTTGGCCTGTTTGAGTAAAAAGTGCAGGGTCTTTTGCTTGTCTAAGAACTAAAAATAAACTAGTGAGGTAATTTAAACACTCTTTTTTTTTTCTGAGAAATACAAATGTTATTTTATTTTCTCGAAATTGGAGAATATATAAATATATTTGTCTAGTGGTCGTCTTAGATATCAGTGAATTTTTCTCCAGTTATCTCTATAATTACTTGGAAGTTTGATATTTCAAATATGGCACTGAGTGCAGGAACTCGACAAAGACTTGCGCCAGCTGGTAGAGTCTAATGCAAGGTCAGCCTTGTGCACTAATCAACAAGATCAGGGTCATGAAGTGGGAGGGGGACAGATAAAATTTTTCACAGCTTTGAAACATCACATATAGGTGGATACGTACATGTAGCTGGAAAGAAACACCTGCCTTGGATTTGAGTATCTGTCACAGGAAGCACTCTGGATGGGGTGGGGGGGAAGAAAATGTCTGGATATTATTGTTTTCATCACTATTCTTGGGTTTGTCTCTCCTATTATACAGTAATTAATATGGCAGCCATAGCCCCATTTTTAATGACTATCTTAGAAATATGAAAGCTTTAGCCATACGCCAAACCTTAGTCTATTATGGAAGAAAATTAGATTTTTTTTTTAAAACGTCAGTTCTGTTGCTTTAATTAAGAAATTTACATGGGGCATTTTATTTGGTTTTATCTTGATTTTTCTGAAAAGACAGAGACCGTGTAAACCTAGGAGGCATGTAACATATTTTCCGTTTTTAGACTCCATGCTTTAGGAACCCTATCCATTAATTACACAGTAGAGTAATCAAGAGAAAATGGAATAGCTGTACCTGATCAACATGACTTGCTTGGGTGTGTTGTTCATTCTCTGGTTTTCATTGTTCAAGCCCGGAGTCAGTCAGTTGTTAGCAATTCATACATATCTTCAAAGGCAATGCTGAACAAGAAAGAAGTAATATCACTCTCTGTATCTCATTGCAATTACATTTCTTATATGCAGCCCATCCACAGGATGGAGTAATTACAAGATAACATGTCATTTCATAGCCAACTATATCTATTTTTGCATAAATCCATTATATATTTTTTTATTATAAGAATTAGATATGCAAACAATTCATTTCTTGCAGAAACCAGTGCAACTGCTTTTCCTATCCACTCAGTGCTAGACTAGAAGCTATTTCAAGAGCAGACAGATGCTGGAATAGAGAATATAGAGTTCATAGCATCAGCCCCCATAACATCTGGTACTTTCAAGAGTGTTTTTTATACATTACTATTTTTTTCCTACTATATTTTTTCTCATCATTTATTTTCGAACTCACCCCATCATTCATCTCCCTCTCATCCTTTTTGATATATTTTCCTTTAATGCAAGTATGCATCATTTGTTCATTCACTCGCCGGCTATTTATTTCATACCTATTCTGTACAAGGCTTTGCTTTAGACTGTCGATACCACAGATAAAATCCCTGCCCTTATATACTTACTGTGCATTCTGGTGGGTGGACAAAGACAACTTTTAAAAAGAAGTTACAAGCATGATTACAATTAAGGAAGGAGAAAGATGTGGGGCTTGAATGTTACCCTCCTCTCTCCCTGGGCTGGTGCCAAAATGTTGTGTAGAGCTGTATATAAATGAGATTTCAACATTTTCCTCCGCTGACAGCTAGTTAGAGGGAACTCTTGGGGGCTTCCAATGGGGGTCAGAAGGAAATACATTAGAAGTGTAACCCACCTGTTCTTAAGCCTCATCTGTGACTTCAGGATGTATGGGGGCTTCATCTCCCAAGGATCCTTGGTACTTGATGGAGGTGTTTGGTAATGCTCAACTTTAGAGATATGTGGGCAAATAGAAAATGTCCATGTTGTCTATTGACTGT